ACAAAGAGGAGATTTTCTCGGTAATGAAGCGGAGAACCTGGTTACAAAAACGTGACGCAATGGGACTGGATTATCCAAATGTAAGCGCAGCATTTTTTTTTTTTACATAAAACCTCCATTGAAACATTTGACTGCGGCATATAATCTGGAACAAATAATTGCCGGTAGGACCCAATTTACGGTAATAGAGCAGCTTCTATACTAGAGATCATGTACTGTACACTGAAATGTCTTTTCAACGAAGCCATTGGGACCAGATAAATAGCTTCGTTGCAACGAAAAATTTATTACTGTTTAGAGTAACATCGTATTGTTGCATTCGGAGTTTCGGGCACGGTGCCGGAAAAGAATTTTGTTGCAATCGATCATTCGTTATACAGTACCGATATCCTACTGTGTATGGAAAAATATCAGCGGAAAATACGAAAGATGAACAAGAACAGCAATCATGAAATTTCCCCAGATGATGCTTCCGTGGTTTTTTTTCCCGAATATATTCCAGTTAACGATGAATTTTCGTTTAAAAAATAAAGCCTATATATTCCTTTACTAAATTTGAATTATATGGGACCATTATTGCATTTTTCTCCTGTTATCCAAGTGCTATATCAAAATTCTTGCAGCTGCCTTACTTCATAGATGGCGACAAACGAATCACTCAATCAGGAGCGATCATGTTCTATTTGGCGAGGAAACATGGTTTATTAGGAGCAACGCTAGAGGAGAAGACTAGAGCGACAATGGCGTATTTTGAATTGTGCGATTTCCGATTTGCCTTCTACTTCGCGACATACGGCCTTTGGGTAAATTTGGAAATAGCCTTGAAATATTTCCAAATCGACTGAAGATTAATTTGAATTTTTTTTTCAGTACGAATGGGTTCCCGAGAGCGCGAGACTGCTTGGCTGGGTCAGTATGGAATGTTTGAGGAATAGAAGGAGCAATCGTTGTCAAAATAATGGATGCTTCTCAAGCAAATCTGGTCATGAAAATTTTCAAAACCATGCAATGATCGAGCTAATACCTTATAATGTACATGATGAATATTATTCCATTTCGGTAAATTTAAAAGCGCGAAAAATCGGACCATTCCCAAGATTAAAGAACATACGGCATCTCACTTCAAAGTTAGTTTCTTGATTAATTATAAAAAAATATGAGATTAAAATAAATTGTGATCTGACAAATATGTTGCAACGCGAGACCATTTTGAGAAGCCGGTTCCTCACTCAATCGGCGTCGACAAATTAATAAGCAAGGTGAACATCCATCCTCGTTTCAATTGAACTCGCACAATACGATCAACAGTACAGTACTTGAACCACTCGGGGTAGTTATTTTTATTTATAAAATTTTTTTTGGAAAATATTCGGAGAATGCTCAACATATTTTCTAAATTTTGTTCACCCGTTTTTTGCTATTCGCAGTTAATTCGGCTTATTGGTTCAGTTCAAATTCTGCCCTAGGAATAAGAGCATCAAAAGTTATTTAAAAAGACCACGAACTAAAAATGCAAAAAACGTCGCGTACAAAATTTTTTCGGGATACATTCGTCAAATCTTCCAAAATGGCTTCATATACAGTATAGATATGCTGGCTCTGCAAGAATTTGTCCCCAACGAAATGGGACCCGTCCCGGGACGAAGTAGGAAAGGAACCCTTAACAATCAGCCCCCGGGGGAGGCAGGGTCACGGGGCAACCAAGCCAATGAAGCAGGCACTGACCAGTCAAACCTCATAGTTTTCAAGTACAGTACGGTAATTTACTGAAGAACTTTAAACAGACCGTTCAATCTAAGAGATTGTTTTATTTCTTTTTTTTTCACTGAGAAACTGATCAATGCAGAAAATGTGTGTATTATCAGCACAAGGAAACTTTGAATCCGAGTTCCAGGTGTTGAGTGTCCTGGTTTAAAAAAATAAATACTGTAAAACAAAGTAAGAACATTTCTTAGTTGAAACTTATATTCTGCTTTTCGCCGTTTTCGTCAAACTGCATTTTTGCTGTTTTTGTCAGGCTCAGACTTGTCACATGTATTCGTTTTGTCATTTCAATTATCAACTAGATCAATCGAAAAAATAATGAAAGGTTCTTCTCGTCAGTGCGTGCGCCTCTGTATCTGTGCGCAGACCGACCTCCCCACGGGTCCAGTTCTTGCCCCGCCTGTTTCTGGGGTCTGATAGTCGCGCATCCCTTTTATTCTGGGTTCCCAGGACATACTCTCCCCGGTCAGATTTCGTTAGGCACGCATCCTCCGAGAGCGAGAAAGGCTACCGAGTACAATTTCATCACTTACGCGCGGTAGCAAACTCAAAATTATGCAGAAAATAAATCCCCGTTGCAGACAGAAGTGAAGAAGTATGATTGGTACAGCAAACATCTCCCTAGCTTCCTGAGACGATCATCGGACTTCTTGGGGGACCGGAACTTTATGGCCGGTGAAGAGGTATGGAATTCGAATCAAAACAATGCACGCGCCATGTATGGAAATCGCATGAATTCAACAGTAAACGATTCATCTTTCAAGGTGACTTTCGTCGATTTCCTAGCTTACGAACTGCTAGATGTGATTCAATACACGGATCCGGCTTGTCTCGCGAATGCGACGCCGAATCTCTGGAAGTACTACCATCGCATGGAATCAATGAATGCAGTACAAAATCATCGACATTCTCACCGGTAATAAACAGCAGTTCCGTGTGCGTTTCTCCAGCATTCTGATCAAATAAAGGTATTCTTAACATTCCACAGACACATCAGTTGGCCAGTGAATTGCAACCATGCATCTTTCGGATACAAAGCTGAAGACAAACACGTACGAGATTCAGTTGACCTTCCAGATCCTTCATAAAAATACAGCGTACATGTATTTCAAGTCCCTCATCCGACAACCTGGAATGCACCGAGAACAATCCAGT